ATTCAACTTTTCTAACAAGTTCAACAGGTTCACATGTCGAACATGTTAGATGAACGCGAAGTATCAAAACAACCCTTCCAAACATCTAAAGCGTTTCAGTAATATAACCGTGCCGCTTTGCATAACCGCAGCGCCCATGCAAGCATGTTCCGCCCCGCCTTATTCTGCCATCCGACAAATATGAAAGCATAGTATAAACGAGCTTGCATTATTGCTTTTCTTCCTCTGAAATTTTCAAAACAATCATAGGAATTCTCGGCTGATCTCTCTTTCAAACATCGAAGGTCAATTCTGCAAACCACCGTCAACACAGAACACTCTCCTACCGACAATTAATAGTAGTGTACTTTTTGCAGAAATGTGATAAACACATCACTTCTGCAGGATAGAGTCAACCATAGTACGCTGGAGAGTTGCAGAATTCGTTCTATGCGTTTTTTTTAAGCAAAAATAAAGATGGTTTTTCCTATCCCCATTCAAGTTAGAAAAGTTTTTTTACGCGAGCGTTTAACGTAGCTGGAGAAATTTGGAGAAAAGTAGGTTTGTAAGATTTTTCAAGCATATCTCATTTCGTATTTCAAGTAACAGATTGTGTTATCAAAGAAATAGAAAGTCGAGAATTTCCTATATTTAGAAAATAAGTTAGAGAAGGATAAGTGAAGTATTTACATTCTAGGATCGTAATGTTGCAACACCTCGGGATTATTACATGGCCCTCGCCAACACTGTTAGAGATCACCTAGTTAGCAGATGGATTCGTACGCAGCAGCACTACTACGAAAAAGATCCTAAGGTTGATGATTTTCCTTTTTTTGACCGACTTTAAAATTCTACATGATCCATCTTGAATTTATCGATAGAAAAGTTCTATAGATTTTGGTAATTCTTTAGAATTTCGTTAGTTTCAAATAAAAATCGCAATTCAACTTTCAGAGAGTTTACTACCTCTCTCTTGAATTTTATATGGGACGTACTCTCTCCAACACTATGATGAACCTTGGACTTCAAGCTACCGTTGATGAAGCTCTCTACCAGGTTTGTTTACTAGCAATCGATAACAAAACTACATGTCTTGTTGTTTTGGCCGTTATGCGGCGGAGATCGACATAAAATTGACCACTGATCGCTCTATAGTTTCGTATAGTGAATTTCACACTTTGATAACCAAAGTAGAGTTGCGTCTGTGCTGTCATGTATCTTCTGAAATGAGCTATGAGCATTTCCCAAAAAGTTTGTGAAGTCTAGTCGACTCACCCATAGACTCACGAAGAGGCTAAACGGATATGGGATTTGGGAAGCGTGAGGGCGATGCTCTCTAATTAGATAATGCTCCTCAATCTGGAAACTGACGTCTAAACCAGTTTGTTTCAGCTTGGTTTGGAAATCGAGGAACTTCAAGAAATTGAGGAAGACGCTGGCTTAGGAAATGGTGGCCTTGGACGACTTGCTGCTTGTTTCCTGGACTCCATGGCCACGCTTGGAATCCCAGCGTATGGTTATGGACTTCGATATGAATATGGGATCTTCAAGCAGCTCATCAGGGACGGTTGGCAGGTTGGTTTCATCATCGTTCGATCTCACAAAACGATACTATCAATGTCAATAACTTAACTGCATGAGAGTTTAAAAGTAACAGCGTCTAACAATCAACACATTATCAATGACGCAGTTTCCATCTTGGAATCTCATCTGTAACATTGAAATTGCACAAAACTTTCCTACAAGCAATAGTCGAGCACGTCCAAAAATTTTCAAATATTTTTCTTAAATTAGGTTTTTTCTGTGTTGTTATTACGAACAAAAATTATAGCTAACAAATTGATGCCAAACACTTGCCTAACCAAAAATATCTTTGCTAATACAAGAAATAAACATATAAAGCACAATAAAGACTAGGACAAAGAATAGGATTTATTTTTCATAAGCTTCAGCAAGGCTAAGCTGCGCCAATTTCTCAACTACTGCTCATATATTATGTTGCTCATTTGTTTAATTTCAATTGTTATTTTTCAAAATTTTCGTTGAGCTAAAAATGCGCATCTAATTTTCCAGGTAGAAGAGCCAGATGATTGGCTTCGATTCGGAAACCCGTGGGAGAAGGCTAGACCAGAGTATATGCTGCCAGTCAACTTCTATGGCAAAGTGGTTAAGGACGCGAAGGGAAGGGTGAGTACTGAGTTTCATCGCATTCTAACTGCTTATCAATTTTTTAAATTAGATTTTTAGACTTTACGGTTTTATTTATTCTTTTCAGTCGAACTGGGTGGATACACAAGTGGTCTTTGCTATGCCATATGACACTCCTGTCCCGGGATATCGTAATAACGTTGTGAACACCCTTCGTTTGTGGAGTGCCAAGGTGAATTTAGCATTTGAGTTATAATTTTAGATTTGTTCAGCTTTAATGTTTGATTTTAGTATCTGTCATTTACCGACTATTGAGCCTTTCCCAACTTACGGAAAAAATTGATTGTTTTAAGGCTGAAAACCACTTCCACTTAAAATTCTTCAACGATGGTGACTACGTGCAAGCCGTTATGGACCGAAACCTTTCTGAGAACATCACCAGGGTGCTATATCCCAATGATAACGTATGTCCTTATAGGATTTGAATTTACTCTTATGGGATTCAAAGCGCTAAATGTGAGCTACAGGTATTCATTGGCAAAGAACTTCGTTTAAAACAACAGTACTTCTTGGTTGCGGCTACTCTACAGGATATTATCAGACGCTTCAAATCGAGCAAATATGGTTGCCGTGATGCGATTCGCGTAAATTTCGATGCATTCCCGGACAAGGTATTGTACAAGCTCTGATTTTCTGAGTTAGGTAATGTATTTCTATCTAGGTTGCCATCCAGCTGAACGACACTCATCCTTCAATTGGTATTCCCGAGTTGATTCGCTTGCTTGTTGATATCGAAGGTGAGGGTTATTATCGTTCGTTTATGCCTACTCTAGCAAAGAGATATCTTGCCATGATTGAACTATAGAGAAGCTTAACTAGGAAAAATTTTAGTATATCTTGTTGTTACGTCTTTTTTCATCTGTGTTTCATTTTCTCCATTCAGACAGCTGTCAATGAACTGCAGTTTAGTGGCAGTTGACCCTTTTGCGTTATGACTACGCTAATCTTATGCTTATGCCCTCTTTTCATGTTGTGAAAGGCTTTTCTTTGGTTCCATATATTTATGGCAAAATCTTTAGGACTAACCTGGGCTCAAGCGTGGGATATCTGCGTGAAAACATTTGCCTACACCAACCACACTCTTTTACCTGAAGCTCTCGAAAGATGGCCAGTATCCATGCTGCAATCTTTACTACCTCGACACTTAGAGATTATTTATGAAATCAATCAGAGATTTATGGAGGTGCGATTTCGCATTTTCTCGTTTTTACGTAATTTATAACTATGCCACTTCAAACTTCAGGCTGTCGCTGCGCGTTATCCTGGTGATTTTGATAGAATGCGCCGCATGTCCATAGTCGAAGAGGCGGATCAATTTGGAGAGGTAGGGATTGTATTCCAATTATTATGTTTTGTTATGGAATGTTACCTTCTTTAGAAACGTATCAACATGGCCAATCTTTGCATCGTCGCTTCACATGCTACCAATGGAGTAGCTGCGCTGCACTCACAACTGTTGAAGACCACGACGTTAGTTTATCTACCTTTATGTAATCCTTACGTCAAACCATTTTCAAAGTTCAACGTAAATTCAACCTCCATCTTTTGTTGTAATAATACTTCCAATTATCATATTATAGAACATCTAATCACCTTTATCACTGCTGATTCAGTTTCAAGGACTTCTATGAGATGTATCCGGAGAGGTTCCAAAACAAAACCAATGGTATTACACCTCGCCGTTGGCTTCTTCTGTCTAATCCTTCACTTGCTGACCTCATTGCAGAGGTACAACCTGAGTATGATGGAGATAAGGTTTTAGATTACTCAATGGTCATTTTTCCAGAAAATTGGAGAGGCTTGGATTACTAATCTGGATGAGCTGCAGAAGCTGAAAGAGTATGCTGATAATCCAGGATTCCTAGATGCGCTTCGTCGCGTGAAACAAGAAAATAAGATGCGCGTAGCTCAGTACATCACTGAGGACTACAACGTAGAAATCAATCCTGCCAGTATCTTCGATATCCATGTACATTTCATTGATTTGTTTTCTTTAAAAAATTTCTAGCAATTTTTCCGTAGGTGAAACGACTCCACGAGTACAAGAGACAACTGCTGAATATACTCCATGTGATATGCCTCTATAATAGAATCAAAGCTAATCCAAACATCGATATGGTTCCTAGGACATTCCTGTACGGTGGAAAGGTTAGCGGTAGTGCTCAATAGAGTGGACTGTTGTGGGCGAAATTCTGTTATAGGCAGCCCCTGGGTATCACATGGCTAAGCAAATCATTCGACTTATTACTAGTGTAGGTGAGGTTGTGAATAACGATCCGATAGTAGGAGATAAACTCAAGGTGAATTTATTTCTCTTCATTTAGTCGTGATTCACATGAATAACAAAATCTTTTTACATATGTTTAATCTTTTTTTT